GGCTCCTTGACGAATTTAGCTGCAAAAAAGTGTTTGGCCGCGCAGCCTGATGCTGCTGCTGGGAGTGCTGTTGAGCTAGCGCCTTGCGATGAAGCAGGGAAGAGTTCAACCTGGGAGTTGCAGGCCAACGGACAAATAAAGCTTGGGGCCAGCAACATGTGCCTGAGCCAAGCAGGGCCTTCGCCTGGCCGTGCAGATCTTGCCTCTAGCTCCGCAGTTGTTGCTAGCTCCACATTGGACCCTGCGCACGGAGCTGCCCTTGTTGTTGATGGTCTCGCATCATCCTATTGGGTATCCAAGTTAGACGAAGCAGGCCCTGTGTCTTTGACGCTTGAATTTGACAAAGCGGCGCCTGTGCTCGAAGTAGAGCTTGATTTTGAATTTGCCCCTTCTTCTTTCGTGCTGCAAAGCTTGGGGGCAAGTGGTAAATGGATTGACGAGTTTGCAACTGACACCAACATCCTTCGAACCGCCAAGCTCCCACTGGCCGGTGGCCCGGCCTATGGCGTGAGGCTTGTGATGAACAAAGCGCATGCGACCCAAGCCGTGCTGGGAGGTCATTCCATCTTTGGGGTACGTTCCTTCAAGGTCCTTGCCCCACTGATGCGTCCGGTTGTGGAGCCTTGCGTGGTGGCGGCCAAGAGCAGTGATGCTCGAGACAAATATTTTGCCGTGGCCGTCGGCTCCTTTGATCCTTCGTCTGGTGCGGCGCTGCGGTCGGAGCTTCCTGCTTTGGACTCTGCCGGCGCAGCAGTTGCCGCCGCAGTGACGGAGCTTGCGGAAGCAGTCCCAGATGGGCGTGCATGCAAGAAAGGCGCTGCCTTCAAGTCAAAGGCAGGACGCCGCCAGACAGTATCATCCACTCGCAAGAGTCTTGGAGGAGCAGAAATTGGCGAGCAGGAAGCTTTGTTTGTCGAGGCCAAGAAAACCATCATCGCCGCTCGCAGCATTCTGCAATGAGCCAAATGCGCAGGGCTAACTATGTTTGATGTGGCCCTAGATCCGCCCCAAGTGGCAAGCTGCTGTGTGTATCGCTGCTCTGTTGCCAGGCTCGGCTTTTTCTTTTTCGTGGCAGAAGAAGTTTGTTGCTCAGTGTCAAGAAGTTGGGTCTCCTGCGCATCTTCAGGCATCAAATGCCGTCCTGGCTGACCTGAACTTAAAAATTTTTCTTGTTCCTTCAAGTACTGAGGGTCCAGCAGAATACTTGGACCCAGGGACCTGTTCCAAAAGGGCTTAGAATGGTGAGCATGTCATTGTCGAATTGTAGATAATTTCGCCTTAGCATTTCAAATCTTCAACATGACCTATACAAGTATCCATGGCAGACATTGTGTTTTTTTTTTGAAAGACAGGTGCAAGGCTGTAAAGGATGTTAAAAGACATGGCAATCGAAATAGAACCTCGAGAGTTAAATGTGGAAGGGTTGTAATGTCATATCATTGCAATCTATACAAAGCTATTGAAAATTATATAGTGTCTTGCTTGTTTGGTTGTGATTTCATTCTTTCCCATTAAAGCCGTGCGTCACAGTTGGCAATGATATGGCTGGACCCATGTTCCATTTCAGAGGACATTTTTGTAACAAACGGAAGCATTTTGTCGGGAACTTTGCCTAGTGAACCATGCCATTTTGTAAAAGGCGTTTTTTGTTGGGCGAATCATTTTGTAAGAGCCAACATTCTTTACAAAATGACGTCGGGGCCAGTCATTTGATAATGCTATTTTAGGTTCATTTCTGGCAGTGCAAAGGAAGGTATTGAAATCTTGACCATGCCCAGGAACCAAGTTTTCTTCTCCAAAACCTTTTGGGTTCCCGGGGCAAGTGGGATATGTACAAGCTAGACATATGTCCAAACCAACCAGTCTATAAGACACAAGCTTAGAAGATGACCGGGCTTGGGGCCTGGAAATAAAACTTGGGGCAGACATTTTGTAAGGCACCGATTTTTGGTTTGTTTTTTGGTTCACCGGTGTTTCCCCGGGAATCACACCAAGCCTCCACCACCACCCATCTTATGAACTCCAAATACCCCAAATCATGAGACTTTGTAAGCTCGACATCTACAAAATGCTTGCCCTGACGTCACCTGGTAAATGTGCAGGGGGATACGTTGCTCATGATTTTATTTTTTGTTAATCATCGAAGGAAGTTTAGAAGTCAAACTTCCGACAATATGGACAGATGAAAAGCAGAGCTGGGCAGAGGCAGAGAGAAGAGGACAGTAGAAGAGAGAGAATCAGAGAAGAGAAAGGGTCAGAAGAAAGCAGATGCAGATGCGCGAAAAGGTAGGAAAGTCGTGAAACACTGTTTTTCCAATGATTTGAGGCTCCGGAGGGTCGAAAAGTAGGCTCGCTAAAGCGGCGGGTGCGGAGCCAGCTGGCCAGATGAGAGATGAAAAATTGCACGCCGTTGTGGCGCGAAGCACATTTGCAAGTCAAAATGTGCAAAGCACACCAGGTGCGGACCACTTTTGGCAGTTGAGATGTCAAAAAAGTGAACGCCGTTGTGGCGCGAAGCACGTTTCGAAGTCAAAATGTTAAAAACACTAGGGGTTCGGACCACTTTTGGAGGTTCAGATGTCGTTTCGCGTGGCAGGCGCAAGGGATTGTGCACCTCTTCAAAAGTGAGCAAAACGTGAGGGTTTTGTAGCATTTCAAAAACGATGGCAGGCATGGGACATTTGAAGAGGATCTGCAAAGATGCATTTTCCGTGGCAGGCGCAGTACAAAAGACATGTTTATTTATTATTATCAGGTCGGGGCGCTGATTTCCTGAGAGGGGTTGCATTTTGGAGTATCAGATGTGCAGGTTTGCTAAGATGATTTTGCGTGACAGGTGCAGCACTTCGTATGACCTGGCATCAATTTTCTGTGGCAGGCGCAATACTTTAGACAGGTGGACTGGAAAAATCGCAAAACGCATTGGTACGAGGCTGTCAGCTCTGCACTCAACGTTCTATTTTTGAAGGAAGTCTCGCAGAATTCTTTCGTTTTTGATGTCTTCAACTTCGAAAAATGAGGAAGTCTCGCAGAATTGCTTCGTTTCGGATGTTGTCAAGTTCACAAAATGAAGACGTCTCGCAGAATTGTTTCGTTTTGGACGTTGTTATGTTCAAACATTAAGGAAGTCTCGCAGAATTTCTTCGTTTTTGATCTTGCAGATAGATAGATAGATAGATAGACAGACAGACAGATAGATAGGTAGATAGGTAGATAGGTAGGTAGATAGGTAGATAGGTAGATAGGTAGATAGGTAGATAGGTAGATAGGTAGACAGATAGATCAGTAGGTAGTAGAAAGAGAGAAGGAGAGGAGACCTGGAGCAAAATGATTCACTCTGCCATCCCTGATTCGCAACAACCAATCTCTCCTATAGGTTTCCTATTTTTGAAACTTCCCCCACCGCCTTGTGCGGTACTACTGGTAATCCAAACCAAGCGACTTGGAAATCATTTTTTGTCCGACAAGGTATAAGAGTTGACTGGCCAAAATGCGGGATTTGGATTTAAGCTGTTGTTTTGGCACATTACTTCAAGTCCCTCATCTTGACATTGTTTTTTGCATTCCAAACTAACCATCCCAGTCAACCCCAGGGGTGTGCCACTTAGATACCTTGATTTTGAAAGTATATAGTAGGGATCAGCCGAAGTAGAAATATGTGGTTTTGAAAGCTTTATTTCCATTGTCTGACATGCTAGAAGAGACTCGGAAGAGATGAGGGCATGAAGGAATACAGCATGATATAGTATTGTGGCACAGCCATTCTAGATTCTTTGCACGTAAAATGGAAAACAGGTCTCACGCATTCCAAAGCAATTCTGAGATTTCAATGAAAATAGCCAGGAAGTTCCAATTTAGACGGGGTTTTTAGAATCTAGAATGAAGAACCCAGGGTCCCTTGGTAAAAGTTAAAGCTATACTATGAAGCACTTGTCCGGCATCGGCCAACAGTATACATATATGCCAGCATATCTTGCGATGAGCTCTTCTGGGGAAACCATCTCGACGGGAAACAACAATTCCACTTACCTACCTCCCCATTTCTTCTGTAACAGTGTTCGCAGAGCTTTCGGCAAGAAACGTTCGCCAAGTCGCTTAAACCGCAGCTTGCACCTTAAGACAAAAGGCAGTGACGAGAACACGCGCGGGCTAGGTCCAAGCCAGAAGAAAAGAGAACATTGAAACAACCGCAGCTGCAACCCAAACAAACTCATTGGCAGGGTCAGGATTCAAACCTTAAAAACATTTTTGTCTAAAGTGAACTAATGAGACTAACGCTGATGAATTTCAAGGCAGAACAGCTTTTGAATTGCGCAGGCAACGGAAGAAGCGCTGCACGGACAGAGCTTCCATGCATTTGCTGTTTGAAGCATCTCTAACCCAGCCTAACTCAGCCAATTTGCTTGGTAAAAAATCGGAGCAGCAGCGGGGTACAGGTCCCAGCTACATGTGAAAAAGCATGGCGCGCTGTCCCTTCGAAATCAGACACGAAGCAAAGCAACGGCAAACCAAATGACAAGCCCAAACAAAAAAAGAGTTGCCGTTTGCTTTTCGTATTTTTGCGCGTCGCGTTTTGTTTTCAGGACCTTTTTCGCAGTTCCCATCTACGCGCTGTTTTCTTACTTCGCGTCGCCTCTTTTTTTTGGTTTTCCCGCGGCCTGCGCTCTTTTGATATTTGCCCCCTCCACACACACGCACCTGCTTGTGGACTTGCTTTCTCAGACTTTTTGCTTTTCTTTTTGCAATCATGATTGTCGCACGCATGGCTGAAATGGTTGCGTGGAATGCTTGCCACTTGCTTTCTGTCATCGCCCATGCAGTGTGCTGCACCAACAGCTTGCCCATGCCTGTGGCAACATGTTCGGTGTGCATTGAAATGTGTCATTGGAATCGCCGATGAATTGCCTTGCGGCGTCCCCTGTAAAGCATGCATAGCATAGCTGCCGCTAAACATTCACAGTGTTTGAGTCGGCCTTGTGGTGGTGGTGGTGCTTGGAATCATGTTAGCCGTACGGTTGGTTGTTGTGGCTTTTGCTTTGGCTGCTGCTGAGAAGATGCAAGCGCCTTCCAGCTTCATGCTGGTAAGTGGTGTCTCTTCACCGCGAGAGATGTGTCTAGTCGGGATGGGCCCAGCGGGTGCTTTATTGGACTGCACTTGCAGAGTTGGACGGACGTGAGGTTTGGAGTCTCACAGGCAGTGGCTCCTTGACGAATTTAGCTGCGAAAAAGTGTTTGGCCGCGCAGCCTGATGCTGCTGCTGGGAGTGCTATTGAGCTAGCGCCTTGCGATGAAGCAGGGAAGAGTTCAACCTGGGAGCTGCAGGCCAACGGACAAATAAAGCTTGGGGCCAGCAACATGTGCCTGAGCCAAGCAGGGTCTTCGCCTGGCCGTGCAGATCTTGCCTCTAGCTCCGCAGTTGTTGCTAGCTCCACATTGGACCCTGCGCACGGAGCTGCCCTTGTTGTTGATGGTCTCGCATCATCCTATTGGGAATCCAAGTTAGACGAAGCAGGCCCTGTGTCTTTGACGCTTGAATTTGACAAAGCGGCGCCTGTGCTCGAAGTAGAGCTTGATTTTGAATTTGCCCCTTCTTCTTTCGTGCTGCAAAGCTTGGGGGCAAGTGGTAAATGGATTGACGAGTTTGCAACTGACACCAACATCCTTCGAACCGCCAAGCTCCCACTGGCCGGTGGCCCGGCCTATGGCGTGAGGCTTGTGATGAACAAAGCGCATGCGACCCAAGCCGTGCTGGGAGGTCATTCCATCTTTAAGGTACGTTCCTTCAAGGTCCTTGCCCCACTGATGCGCCCGGTTGTGGAGCCTTGCGTGGTGGCGGCCAAGAGCAGTGATGCTCGAGACAAATATTTTGCCGTGGCCGTCGGCTCCTTTGATCCTTCGTCTGGTGCGGCGCTGCGGTCGGAGCTTCCTGCTTTGGACTCTGCCGGCGCAGCAGTTGCCGCCGCAGTGATGGAGCTTGCGGAAGCAGTCCCAGATGCGCGTGCATGCAAGAAAGGCGCTGCCTTCAAGTCAAAGGCAGGACGCCGCCAGACAGTATCATCCACTCGCAAGAGTCTTGGAGGAGCAGAAATTGGCGAGCAGGAAGCTTTGTTTGTCGAGGCCAAGAAAACCATCATCGCCGCTCGCAGCATTTTGCAATGAGCCAAATGCGCAGGGCTAACTATGTTTGATGTGGCCCTAGATTCGCCCCAAGTGGCAAGCTGCTGTGTGTATCGCTGCTCTGTTGCCAGGCTCGGCTTTTTCTTTTTCGTGGCAGAAGAAGTTTGTTGCTCAGTGTCAAGAAGTTGGGTCTCCTGCGCATCTTCAGGCATCAAATGCCGTCCTGGCTGACCTGAACTTAAATTTTTCTTGTTCCTTCAAGTACTGAGGGTCCAGCAGAATACTTGGACCCAGGGGCCTGTTCCAAAAGGGCTTAGAATGGTGAGCATGTCATTGTCGAATTGTAGATAATTTCGCCTTAGCATTTCAGATCTTCAACATGACCTATACAAGTATCCATGGCAGACATTGTGTTTTTATGTGTTTTAAAAGACAGGTGCAAGGCTGTAAAGGATGTTAAAGTAGGATGCCTTCAAGATCAGACGTGCCCCCTTGACACAGCATCTGCGAAGCTTCAAGGACAAACATTTCTTTGGCAAGCGGCGATGGCAATCGAAATAGAACCTCGAGAGTTAAATGTGGAAGGGTTGTAATGTCATATCATTGCAATCTATACAAAGCTATTGAAAATTATATAGTGTCTTGCTTGTTTGGTTGTGATTTCATTCTTTCCCATTAAAGCCGTGCGTCACAGTTGCGCAATGATATGGCTGGACCCATGTTCCATTTCAGAGGACATTTTTGTACCAAACGGAAGCATTTTGTCGGGAATTTTGCCTAGTGAACCATGCCATTTTGTAAAAGGCGTGTTTTTTGTTGGGCGAATCATTTTGTAAGAGCCAACATTCTTTACAAAATGACGTCGGGGCCAGTCATTTGATAATGCTATTTTGGGTTCATTTCTGGCAGTGCAAAGGAGGGTATTGAAATCTTGACCATGCCCAGGAACCAAGTTTTCTTCTCCAAAACCTTTTGGGTTCCCGGGGCAAGTGGGATATGTACAAGTTAGACATATGTCCAAACCATCCAGTCTATAAGACACAAGCTTAGAAGATGACCGGGCTTGGGGCCTGGAAATAAAACTTGGGGCAGACATTTTGTAAGGCACCGATTTTTGGTTTGTTTTTTGGTTCACCGGTGTTTCCCCGGGAATCACACCAAGCCTCCACCACCACCCATCTTATGAACTCCAAATACCCCAAATCATGAGACTTTGTAAGCTCGACACCTGGGTCACCTACAAAATGCTTGCCTTGACGTCGCCTGGTAAATGTGCAGGGGGATACGTTGCTCATGATTTTATTTTTTGTTAATCATCGAAGGAAGTTTAGAAGTCAAACTTCCGACAATATGGACAGATGAAAAGCAGAGCTGGGCAGAGGCAGAGAGAAGAGGACAGTAGAAGAGAGAGAATCAGAGAAGAGAAAGGGTTAGAAGAAAGCAGATGTAGATGCGCGAAAAGGTAGGAAAGTCGCGAAACACGGTTTTTCCAATGATTTGAGGCTCCGGAGGGTCGAAAAGTAGGCTCGCTAAAGCGGCGGGTGCGGAGCCAGCTGGCCAGATGAGAGATGAAAAATTGCACGCCGTTGTGGCGCGAAGCACATTTGCAAGTCGAAATGTGCAAAACACACCAGGTGCGGACCACTTTTGGCAGTTGAGATGTCAAAAAAGTGAACGCCGTTGTGGTGCGAAGCACATTTCGAAGTCAAAATGTTAAAAGCACTAGGGGTTCGGACCACTTTTGGAGGTTCAGATGTCGTTTCGCGTGGCAGGCGCAAGGGATTGTGCACCTCTTCAAAAGTGAGCAAAACGTGAGGGTTTTGTAGCATTTCCAAAAACGATGGCAGGCATGGGACATTTGAAGAGGATCTGCAAAGATGCATTTTCCGTGGCAGGCGCAGTACAAAAGACATGTTCATGAGAGATGTTAGGAGGTCGGGGCGCTGATTTCCTGAGAGGGGTTGCATTTTGGAGTATCAGATGTGCAGGTTTGCTAAGATGATTTGGCGTGACAGGTGCAGCACTTCGTATGACCTGGCATCAATTTTCTGTGGCAGGCGCAGTACTTTAGACAGGTGGACTGGAAAAATCGCAAAACGCATTGGTACGAGGCTGTCAGCTCTGCACTCAACTTTCCATTTTTGAAGGAGTCTCGCAGAATTCTTTCGTTTTTGATGTCTTCAACTTCGAAAAATGAGGAAGTCTCGCAGAATTGCTTCGTTTCGGATGTTGTCAAGTTCAAAAAATGAAGACGTCTCGCAGAATTGTTTCGTTTTGGACGTTGTTATGTTCAAACATTAAGGAAGTCTCGCAGAATTTCTTCGTTTTTGGTCTTGCAGATAGATAGATAGATAGATAGATAGATAGACAGACAGACAGACAGACAGAGAGATAGCGAGATAGAGAGATAGATAGAGAGAGAGAGATATAGATATATAGATAGATAGATAGGTAAATAGATAGATAGGTAGATAGGTAGACAGAAGCAGAGAGAAAAAGAGAGAAAGAGAGGAGACCTGGAGAATGATTCACTCTGCCATCCCTGATTCACAACAGCCAATCTCTCCTATGTTGAGAGTTTCTTGAAAAGAAACTTGATTTTATTTCCTCACGCAACCTTCGTTTGTGTGTGTGTGTGTGCTTTTAGCTGTTGTTTTGGCACATTACTTCAAGTCCCTCATCTTGACATTGTTTTTGCATTCCAAACTAATCATTGTATTTTGGAGGCCACAAGAAGTCTCAAATCTCAAAGGTCTCCAAGAATTCTAGAACCATTCCAGTCAACCCCAGGGGTGTGCCACTTAGATACCTTGATTTTGAAAGTATATAGTAGGGATCAGCCGAAGTAGAAATATGTGGTTTTGAAAGCTTTATTTCCATTGTCTGACATGCTAGAAGAGACTCGGAAGAGATGAGGGCATGAAGGAATACAGCATGATATAGTATTGTGGCACAGCCATTCTAGATTCTTTGCACGTAAAATGGAAAACAGGTCTCACGCATTCCAAAGCAATTCTGAGATTTCAATGAAAATAGCCAGGAAGTTCCAATTTAGACGGGGTTTTTAGAATCTAGAATGAAGAACCCAGGGTCCCTTGGTAATAGTTAAAGCTATACTATGAAGCACTTGTCCGGCATCGGCCAACAGTATACATATATGCCAGCATATCTTGCGATGAGCTCTTCTGGGGAAACCATCTCGACGGGAAACAACAATTCCACTTACCTACCTCCCCATTTCTTCTGTAACAGTTTTCGCAGAGCTTTCGGCAAGAAACGTTCGCCAAGTCGCTCAAACCGCAGCCTGCACCTTAAGACAAAAGGCAGTGACGAGAACACGCGCGGGCTAGGTCCAAGCCAGAAGAAAAGAGAACATTGAAACAACCGCAGCTGCAACCCAAACAAACTCATGAGCAGGGTCAGGATTCAAACCTTAAAAACATTTTTGTCTAAAGTGAACTAATGAGACTAACGCTGATGAATTTCAAGGCAGAACAAAAGCTTTTGAATTGCGCAGGCAACGGAAGAAGCGCTGCACGGACAGAGCTTCCATGCATTTGCTGTTTGAAGCATCTCTAACCCAGCCTAACTCAGCCAATTTGCTTGGTAAAAAATCGGAGCAGCAGCGGGGTACAGGTCCCAGCTACATGTGAAAAAGCATGGCGCGCTGTCCCTTCGAAATCAGACACGAAGCAAAGCAACGGCAAACCAAATGACAAGCCCAAACAAAAAAGAGTTGCCGTTTGCTTTTCGTATTTTTGCGCGTCGCGTTTTGTTTTCAGGACCTTTTTCGCAGTTCCCATCTACGCGCTGTTTTCTTACTTCGCGTCGCCTCTTTTTTTTGGTTTTCCCGCGGCCTGCGTTCTTTTGATATTTGCCCCCTCCACACACACGCACCTGCTTGTGGACTTGCTTTCTCAGAGTTTTTGCTTTTCTTTTTGCAATCATGATTGTCGCACGCATGGTTGCAATGGTTGCGTGGAATGCTTGCCACTTGCTTTCTGTCATCGCCCATGCAGTGTGCAGCACCAACAGCTTGCCCATGCCTGTGGCAACATGTTCGGTGTGCATTGAAATGTGTCATTGGAATCGCCGATGAATTGCCTTGCTGCGTCCCCTGTAAAGCAGGCATAGCATAGCTGCCGCTAAACACTCACAGTGTTTGAGTCGGCCTTGTGGTGGTGGTGGTGCTTGGAATCATGTTAGCCGTACGGTTGGTTGTTGTGGCTTTTGCTTTGGCTGCTGCTGAGAAGATGCAAGCGCCTTCCAGCTTCATGCTGGTAAGTGGTGTCTCTTCACCGCGAGAGATGTGTCTAGTCGGGATGGGCCCAGCGGGTGCTTTATTGGACGAGTGCACGGCTGCACTTGCAGAGCTGGACGGACGTGAGGTTTGGAGTCTCACAGGCAGTGGCTCCTTGACGAATTTAGCTGCAAAAAAGTGTTTGGCCGCGCAGCCTGATGCTGCTGCTGGGAGTGCTGTTGAGCTAGCGCCTTGCGATGAAGCAGGGAAGAGTTCAACCTGGGAGTTGCAGGCCAACGGACAAATAAAGCTTGGGGCCAGCAACATGTGCCTGAGCCAAGCAGGGCCTTCGCCTGGCCGTGCAGATCTTGCCTCTAGCTCCGCAGTTGTTGCTAGCTCCACATTGGACCCTGCGCACGGAGCTGCCCTTGTTGTTGATGGTCTCGCATCATCCTATTGGGTATCCAAGTTAGACGAAGCAGGCCCTGTGTCTTTGACGCTTGAATTTGACAAAGCGGCGCCTGTGCTCGAAGTAGAGCTTGATTTTGAATTTGCCCCTTCTTCTTTCGTGCTGCAAAGCTTGGGGGCAAGTGGTAAATGGATTGACGAGTTTGCAACTGACACCAACATCCTTCGAACCGCCAAGCTCCCACTGGCCGGTGGCCCGGCCTATGGCGTGAGGCTTGTGATGAACAAAGCGCATGCGACCCAAGCCGTGCTGGGAGGTCATTCCATCTTTGGGGTACGTTCCTTCAAGGTCCTTGCCCCACTGATGCGCCCGGTTGTGGAGCCTTGCGTGGTGGCGGCCAAGAGCAGTGATGCTCGAGACAAATATTTTGCCGTGGCCGTCGGCTCCTTTGATCCTTCGTCTGGTGCGGCGCTGCGGTCGGAGCTTCCTGCTTTGGACTCTGCCGGCGCAGCAGTTGCCGCCGCAGTGACGGAGCTTGCGGAAGCAGTCCCAGATGCGCGTGCATGCAAGAAAGGCGCTGCCTTCAAGTCAAAGGCAGGACGCCGCCAGACAGTATCATCCACTCGCAAGAGTCTTGGAGGAGCAGAAATTGGCGAGCAGGAAGCTTTGTTTGTCGAGGCCAAGAAAACCATCATCGCCGCTCGCAGCATTTTGCAATGAGCCAAATGCGCAGGGCTAACTATGTTTGGTGTGGCCCTAGATTCGCCCCAAGTGGCAAGCTGCTGTGTGTATCGCTGCTCTGTTGCCAGGCTCGGCTTTTTCTTTTCGTGGCAGAAGAAGTTTGTTGCTCAGTGTCAAGAAGTTGGGTCTCCTGCGCATCTTCAGGCATCAAATGCCGTCCTGGCTGACCTGAACTTAAAATTTTTCTTGTTCCTTCAAGTACTGAGGGTCCAGCAGAATACTTGGACCCAGGGACCTGTTCCAAAAGGGCTTAGAATGGTGAGCATGTCATTGTCGAATTGTAGATAATTTCGCCTGCCTTAGCATTTCAGATCTTCAACATGACCTATACAAGTATCCATGGCAGACATTGTGTTTTTATGTTTTTTAAAAGACAGGTGCAAGGCTGTAAAGGATGTTAAAGTAGGATGCCTTCAAGATCAGACGTGCCCCCTTGACACAGCATTTTCGAAGCTTCAAGGACAAACATTTCTTTGGCAAGCGGCGATGGCAATCGAAATAGAACCTCGAGAGTTAAATGTGGAAGGGTTGTAATGTCATATCATTGCAATCTATACAAAGCTATTGAAAATTATATAGTGTCTTGCTTGTTTGGTTGTGATTTCATTCTTTCCCATTAAAGCCGTGCGTCACAGTTGCGCAATGATATGGCTGGACCCATGTTCCATTTCAGAGGACATTTTTGTAACAAACGGAAGCATTTTGTCGGGAATTTTGCCTAGTGAACCATGCCATTTTGTAAAAGGCGTGTTTTTTGTTGGGCGAATCATTTTGTAAGAGCCAACATTCTTTACAAAATGACGTCGGGGCCAGTCATTTGATAATGCTATTTTGGGTTCATTTCTGGCAGTGCAAAGGAGGGTATTGAAATCTTGACCATGCCCAGGAACCAAGTTTTCTTCTCCAAAACCTTTTGGGTTCCCGGGGCAAGTGGGATATGTACAAGTTAGACATATGTCCAAACCAACCAGTCTATAAGACACAAGCTTAGAAGATGACCGGGCTTGGGGCCTGGAAATAAAACTTGGGGCAGACATTTTGTAAGGCACCGATTATTGGTTTGTTTTTTGGTTCACCGGTGTTTCCCCGGGAATCACACCAAGCCTCCACCACCACCCATCTTATGAGCTCCAAATACCCCAAATCATGAGACTTTGTAAGCTCGACACCTGGGTCACCTACAAAATGCTTGCCCTGACGTCACCTGGTAAATGTGCAGGGGGATACGTCAAACTTCCGACAATATGGACAGATGAAAAGCAGAGCTGGGCAGAGGCAGAGAGAAGAGGACAGTAGAAGAGAGAGAATCAGAGAAGAGAAAGGGTCAGAAGAAAGCAGATGCAGGTGCGCGAAAAGGTAGGAAAGTCGCGAAACACGGTTTTTCCAATGATTTGAGGCTCCGGAGGGTCGAAAAGTAGGCTCGCTAAAGCGGCAGGTGCGGAGCCAGCTGGCCAGATGAGAGATGAAAAATTGCACGCCGTTGTGGCGCGAAGCACATTTGCAAGTCAAAATGTGCAAAACACACCAGGTGCGGACCACTTTTGGCAGTTAAGATGTCAAAAAAGTGAACGCCGTTGTGGCGCGAAGCACATTTCGAAGTCAAAATGTTAAAAACACTAGGGGTTCGGACCACTTTTGGAGGTTCAGATGTCGTTTCGCGTGGCAGGCGCAAGGGATTGTGCACCTCTTCAAAAGTGAGCAAAACGTGAGGGTTTTGTAGCATTTCCAAAAACGATGGCAGTCATGGGACATTTGAAGAGGATCTGCAAAGATGCATTTTCCGTGGCAGGCGCAGTACAAAAGACATGTTCATGAGAGATGTTAGGAGGTCAGGGCGCTGATTTCCTGAGAGGGGTTGCATTTTGGAGTATCAGATGTGCAGGTTTGCCAAGATGATTTTGCATGACAGGTGCAGCACTTCGTATGACCTGGCATCAATTTTCTGTGGCAGGCGCAGTACTTTAGACAGGTGGACTGGAAAAATCGCAAAACTCATTGGTACGAGGCTGTCAGCTCTGCACTCAACTTTCCATTTTTGAAGGAAGTCTCGCAGAATTCTTTCGTTTTTGATGTCTTCAACTTCGAAAAATGAGGAAGTCTCGCAGAATTGCTTCGTTTCGGATGTTGTCAAGTTCAAAAAATGAAGACGTCTCGCAGAATTGTTTCGTTTTGGACGTTGTTATGTTCAAACATTAAGGAAGTCTCGCAGAATTTCTTCGTTTTTGGTCTTGCAGATAGATAGATAGATAGATAGATAGATACATAGATAGATAGATAGATAGATAGATGGGTAGACAGATAGATCAGTAGGTAGTAGAAAGAGAGAAAGAGAGGAGACCTGGAGCAAAATAATTCACTCTGCCATCCCTGATTCACAACAACCAATCTCTCCTATAGGTTTCCTATTTTTGAAACTTCCGCCACCGCCTTGTGCGGTACTACTGGTAATCCAAACCAAGCGACTTGGAAATCATTTTTTGTCCGACGAGGTATAAGAGTTGACTGGCCAAAATGCGGGATTTGGATTTAAGCTGTTGTTTTGGCACATCACTTCAAGTCCCTCATCTTGACATTGTTTTTGCATTCCAAACTAATCATTGTATTTTGGAGGCCACAAGAAGTCTCAAATCTCAAAGGTCTCCAAGAATTCTAGAACCATCCCAGTCAACCCCAGGGGTGTGCCACTTAGATACCTTGATTTTGAAAGTATATAGTAGGGATCAGCCGAAGTAGAAATATGTGGTTTTGAAAGCTTTATTTCCATTGTCTGACATGCTAGAAGAGACTCGGAAGAGATGAGGGCATGAAGGAATACAGCATGATATAGTATTGTGGCACAGCCATTCTAGATTCTTTGCACGTAAAATGGAAAACAGGTCTCACGCATTCCAAAGCAATTCTGAGATTTCAATGAAAGTAGCCAGGAAGTTCCAATTTAGACAGGGTTTTTAGAATCTAGAATGAAGAACCCAGGGTCCCTTGGTAAAAGTTAAAGCTATACTATGAAGCACTTGTCCGGCATCGGCCAACAGTATACATATATGCCAGCATATCTTGCGATGAGCTCTTCTGGTGAAACCATCTCGACGGGAAACAACAATTCCACTTACCTACCTACCCATTTCTTCTGTAACAGTTTTCGCAGAGCTTTCGGCAAGAAACGTTCGCCAAGTCGCTCAAACCGCAGCTTGCACCTTAAGACAAAAGGCAGTGACGAGAACACGCGCGGGCTAGGTCCAAGCCAGAAGAAAAGAGAACATTGAAACAACCGCAGCTGCAACCCAAACAAACTCATGAGCAGGGTCAGGATTCAAACCTTAAAAACATATTTGTCTAAAGTGAACTAATGAGACTAACGCTGATGAATTTCAAGGCAGAACAAAAGCTTTTGAATTGCGCAGGCAACGGAAGAAGCGCTGCACGGACAGAGCTTCCATGCATTTGCTGTTTGAAGCATCTCTAACCCAGCCTAACTCAGCCAATTTGCTTGGTAAAAAATCGGAGCAGCAGCGGGGTACAGGTCCCAGCTACATGTGAAAAAGCATGGCGCGCTGTCCCTTCGAAATCAGACACGAAGCAAAGCAACGGCAAACCAAATGACAAGCCCAAACAAAAAAGAGTTGCCGTTTGCTTTTCGTATTTTTGCGCGTCGCGTTTTGTTTTCAGGACCTTTTTCGCAGTTCCCATCTACGCGCTGTTTTCTTACTTCGCGTCGCCTCTTTTTTTTGGTTTCCCGCGGCCTGCGTTCTTTTGATATTTGCCCCCTCCACACACACGCACCTGCTTGTGGACTTGCTTTCTCAGAGTTTTTGCTTTTCTTTTTGCAATCATGATTGTCGCACGCATGGCTGCAATGGTCGCGTGGAATGCTTGCCACTTGCTGTCTGTCATCGCCCATGCAGTGTGCAGCACCAACAGCTTGCCCATGCCTGTGGCAACATGTTCGGTGTGCATTGAAATGTGTCATTGGAATCGCCGATGAATTGCCTTGCTGCGTCCCCTGTATAGCAGGCATAGCATAGCTGCCGCTAAACACTCACAGTGTTTGAGTCGGCCTTGTGGTGGTGGAGGTGCTTGGAATCATGTTAGCCGTACGGTTGGTTGTTGTGGCTTTTGCTTTGGCTGCTGCTGAGAAGATGCAAGCGCCTTCCAGCTTCATGCTGGTAAGTGGTGTCTCTTCACCGCGAGAGATGTGTCTAGTCGGGATGGGCCCAGCGGGTGCTTTATTGGACGAGTGCACGGCTGCACTTGCAGAGCTGGACGGACGTGAGGTTTGGAGTCTCACAGGCAGTGGCTCCTTGACGAATTTAGCTGCAAAAAAGTGTTTGGCCGCGCAGCCTGATGCTGCTGCTGGGAGTGCTGTTGAGCTAGCGCCTTGCGATGAAGCAGGGAAGAGTTCAACCTGGGAGTTGCAGGCCAACGGACAAATAAAGCTTGGGGCCAGCAACATGTGCCTGAGCCAAGCAGGGCCTTCGCCTGGCCGTGCAGATCTTGCCTCTAGCTCCGCAGTTGTTGCTAGCTCCACATTGGACCCTGCGCACGGAGCTGCCCTTGTTGTTGATGGTCTCGCATCATCCTATTGGGTATCCAAGTTAGACGAAGCAGGCCCTGTGTCTTTGACGCTTGAATTTGACAAAGCGGCGCCTGTGCTCGAAGTAGAGCTTGATTTTGAATTTGCCCCTTCTTCTTTCGTGCTGCAAAGCTTGGGGGCAAGTGGTAAATGGATTGACGAGTTTGCAACTGACACCAACATCCTTCGAACCGCCAAGCTCCCACTGGCCGGTGGCCCGGCCTATGGCGCGAGGCTTGTGATGAACAAAGCGCATGCGACCCAAGCCGTGCTGGGAGGTCATTCCATCTTTGGGGTACGTTCCTTCAAGGTCCTTGCCCCACTGATGCGCCCGGTTGTGGAGCCTTGCGTGGTGGCGGCCAAGAGCAGTGATGCTCGAGACAAATATTTTGCCGTGGCCGTCGGCTCCTTTGATCCTTCGTCTGGTGCGGCGCTGCGGTCGGAGCTTCCTGCTTTGGACTCTGCCGGCGCAGCAGTTGCCGCCGCAGTGACGGAGCTTGCGGAAGCAGTCCCAGATGCGCGTGCATGCAAGAAAGGCGCTGCCTTCAAGTCAAAGGCAGGACGCCGCCAGACAGTATCATCCACTCGCAAGAGTCTTGGAGGAGCAGAAATTGGCGAGCAGGAAGCTTTGCTTGTCGAGGCCAAGAAAACCATCATCGCCGCTCGCAGCATTTTGCAATGAGCCAAATGCGCAGGGCTAACTATGTTTGATGTGGCCCTAGATTCGCCCCAAGTGGCAAGCTGCTGTGTGTATCGCTGCTCTGTTGCCAGGCTCGGCTTTTTCTTTTTCGTGGCAGAAGAAGTTTGTTGCTCAGTGTCAAGAAGTTGGGTCTCCTGCGCATCTTCAGGCATCAAATGCCGTCCTGGCTGACCTGAACTTAAAATTTTTCTTGTTCCTTCAAGTACTGAGGGTCCAGCAGAATACTTGGACCCAGGGACCTGTTCCAAAAGGGCTTAGAATGGTGAGCATGTCATTGTCGAATTGTAGATAATTTCGCCTGCCTTAGCATTTCAGATCTTCAACATGACCTATACAAGTATCCATGGCAGACATTGTGTTTTTATGTTTTTTAAAAGACAGGTGCAAGGCTGTAAAGGATGTTAAAGTAGGATGCCTTCAAGATCAGACGTGCCCCCTTGACACAGCATCTTCGAAGCTTCAAGGACAAACATTTCTTTGGCAAGCGGCGATGGCAATCGAAATAGAACCTCGAGAGTTAAATGTGGAAGGGTTGTAATGTCATATCATTGCAATCTATACAAAGCTATTGAAAATTATATAGTGTCTTGCTTGTTTGGTTGTGATTTCATTCTTTCCCATTAAAGCCGTGCGCCACAGTTGCGCAATGATATGGCTGGACCCATGTTCCATTTCAGAGGACATTTTTGTAACAAACGGAAGCATTTTGTCGGGAATTTTGCCTAGTGAACCATGCCATTTTTGTAAAAGGCGTGTTTTTTGTTGGGCGAATCATTTTGTAAGAGCAGCTCTGCACCCAACTTTCCATTTTTGAAGGAAGTCTCGCAGAATTCTTTCGTTTTTGATGTCTTCAACTTCGAAAAATGAGGAAGTCTCGCAGAATTGCTTCGTTTCGGATGTTGTCAAGTTCAAAAAATGAAGACGTCTCGCAGAATTGTTTCGTTTTGGACGTTGTTATGTTCAAACATTAAGGAAGTCTCGCAGAATTTCTTTGTTTTTGATCTTGCAGATAGATAGATAGATAGATAGGTAGATAGGTAGATAGGTAGATAGGTAGATAGGTAGATAGGTAGATAGGTAGGTAGATAGGTAGATAGGTAGATAGGTAGATAGGTAGATAGGTAGACAGATAGATCAGTAGGTAGTAGAAAGAGAGAAGGAGAGGAGACCTGGAGCAAAATGATTCACTCTGCCATCCCTGATTCACAACAACCAATCTCTCCTATAGGTTTCCTATTTTTGAAACTTCCGCCACCGCCTTGCGCGGTACTACTGGTAATCCAAACCAAGCGACTTGGAAATCATTTTTTGTCCGACAAGGTATAAGAGTTGACTGGCCAAAATGCGGGATTTGGATTTAAGCTGTTGTTTTGGCACATTACTTTAAGTCCCTCATCTTGACATTGTTTTGCATTCCAAACTAATCATTGTATTTTGGAGGCCACAAGAAGTCTCAAATCTCAAAGGTCTCCAAGAATTCTAGAACCATCCCAGTCAACCCCAGGGGTGTGCCACTTAGATACTTTGATTTTGAAAGTATATAGTAGGGATCAGCCGAAGTAGAAATATGTGGTTTTGAAAGCTTTATTTCCATTGTCTGACATGCTAGAAGAGACTCGGAAGAGATGAGGGCATGAAGGAATACAGCATGATATAGTATTGTGGCACAGCCATTCTAGATTCT